ATCACGTAATATCATGATTATAGTATCCTCATTACTACAATTAAAATAGCATTTTATAAAAACTACTACTAAGGCTATATAAATCATCGACCATGTTTGGTGGAGAGGGTTGGCTCCAAATGAATTAAATAGCTTATAAATTGTTGAATCTCGGCTCAAAAAATGAGCTGAGCTTTGTTTCAAGGAATAACTTGAGTTAATTTTAGTCCGCTCATTTTAACTTGACTCGGCTTTTCATTAGACTTACTTGTATTTTGATAATATTGACATGAGTTAGACAGGGTTTTGGGCTAACTCCTTAGACGTAGGACTCCACCCATTGTCTGTATTTGTGAATGAATTGAGTCAAATTTTCAAGTTGAATTTATTTTTTTGTTAGATTTTTTTTTACTAAATTTTTTAATATCTAGAATTTATATTAGATTCTAATTAATTTGGAGTTAATTTAGATTGATCTCTATAAAAGAAAAGTCTTCCAATACTTATTTCTCCATTCAAGAAATTTTAATTCAAAATTTTGTTTAAAAAAAACTGAGCTTTCTTTACTCAAACTAACAAGTCATCAATGTTTTTTACCAAATCTAATAATAAAGTTATTTATACTATTAAATAAAAATTTAGGATTTCATAAATAATATCTAACAAGAAAAAAGGATAAAATTATCAGCTATATATATTGTTTGATGATAAAATTACTTATATTTTAAATCACAAGTTTAAAATTGAACCCTTAATTAATCCTTAATATCTACTTATAAAAAACCAAAAGAAAAAAGGTAAAAAAGCAGACTAAACCTATAACCTGGATCAAAATTTTCTTCAACGAAGTGCATTTCTGGTTTGGATTTTCTCCGGCCTCCCCTATCCGGCATGGTTATTGTTGCGCAATGTTTTATTAAAATCACACAAAATAGTTTTTATAATTTGAAGTAATTATTTATATTTAGTGGTTTAAATTTATTTTTTTCATTTTTAGATATAAATTTTTAAATAAAATTTAATAATTTATATGAATAATAATTAAAAAAAATTTATATGTAAAGTTCTTGTTGAGTATTTTTATTTAATTAAAAAAATTTTAATTATCATTTATATAATATATTAAATATTTATATAAAATTTATATTTAAAAAGTTAAAAACCTAAACTAAATCTACTAAAAATAAATAGAGTGAATAATAACATAATTGATACAATTAGCTGCTTTTCTAAAATAAATAGTCACTAATAAAATTGATTAAACGAAATGCATAGTTTCTCAATCTCAAAATAATGGACATTATTTAATTTAGAATTTGTCCCATAAAAATAGGTTTTTTTTCATATTTTAATTAAGATAAATTTTTTATTTTAACTTTATTATTATTTCTTCACTTTAATTTTTTTTTAATCTTATTACGATTTAAGTCTCATTATTATTTTTTAGATAATATGAATAAAAATAAAAATTATTTTAAAAATTTTAATTTAATAAAAAAATAAAAAATCGTTTATCGCTATGAGATGCAGGGAGTATCATATGATTTGTAGGGCCTTAGGTGTAATAAAAGGCCAGGGTGTGATAAGTGATAACGAAGCC